CCGTCTCACACACCATCCTTGTGCTCTCTCTCTCTAGTCTTTAGCTAGCTAACCTTCAATATAATATCGAGTCAATCGATCATCCAAGTCCAACATTTATATTGATCGATTTGGGCGCCATGGCTAGAAGAGAAGCACCATGGACAGCGCTGTTTTCCGCCGTCTGCATCGCGGCGTTGTTGGCTGCCCCCGGTGTGGAAGCAATCTTTTGCCTTGACGCAATCAAGGCTTTGCCACGGTGTTTTCGGGACTCTTGGAAGAACCTTTTGCACAAATTCAAGTGGAACGACGCAGATAGTTGGTTCGGATTAGTTGGGGGCGTCGGTTATTTTGACGAGTCGTGTTGCGTGGCTTATTACTCTCAAGCCAACGGTGATTGCATTGTCGCTTTAGGTATGTCTACGTGGACGATTAAAGGCTTTCACAAGGCACTTAAAACTTGTAAGAAGAAGGTAGGATATCATTGAAATCTTTATTTATTAAAGATACCTACAGTAATAATAAATTAAAATACAATAATATTAACAATAAAAAATTTATGTGCAATTCGATATTGTTTGAATAATAAAATAAAAAAAACTCACCTATGTAAAAAATTTACCATTAAGTAAAGGATGGAAATCCTATCAAAAATTTTAAATAATAATAATAATAATAATAAAGAAAGATGGAAATGGGCTGACGTCGGATCTATGCCTCTAATATTTGGACTTTTGGGCCTCTTATCAACTATTGAACATCCATTTTTTCCAATTCCAAACGCTGCAACGCATCCCATATCTAAACCTTTTACTCTTGGGCCGAAGATTTGCTCAGTCATAGCAACAACGGGCAGCGATCTAAACCGTAACGAACTCCATGATAAAGACTTTTTTTTTTTTTTCTTGGTAAACACTCCAAGACAAAGTTGAGAATAGGAAAGAGGATTTCGCCAAGACATTAGACATGTCGGCAAAGGGCCTACTACACTACCCCCAATATTGCGAACAGGTTAGGACTTAGGAAGAAAATCTTTTTTTTTTTTGCTTGAGCATGAAGGAATTTGGGGGAGTGGGATTTTATTTCAAGTTGATGATGACAATTGAATTTCTTATTAATTATATCTAA